CTCAGCAAAATTAAAAACGACGAATCCGTGTCGTTACAGTGTTGAGATTGTTAGTTTGTTGCCTTTGTCTAACGGGTGTGTTATTAATATTATTGTTTGGTGTTCTATCAATATTGTTATTAAAATTATTGTTGTTGTTACTATTCCTATAATTATTGTTATAGCCATTGTTGTTATTATTTCTATACATAATAGTAAATTATTATTGTTATTACTTTGTCTAATTTGTGGGTTATTATTATTGTTAATTCTGTTATTGTTATTATTATTATTATGGTAATGGTTATTTATGTTGTTATTAGGGGTTCTATTGTTATTATTATATTTTATATTACTACTGTTGTTATTTCTTATATAGTTATCACTGAAATTAGTATTTATTCTATTATTGTTATTTCTACTTGGTGGACCGAAGTGTGTGAAGTTTTGGTGCCTAGCTTCAATTATAATTTTATAAGCTTCTTCTAAGTCTGCTGGATTTCGAGCAATTATTAGGGTTTTTGTTGGTTCTGGTAAATGGTTTTTAAATCTTTTTAAGGCAATTCTATTTATTTCACTTGTGGTGTATGTCCCATCATTATGTGTAAGGTTCCTATTATTTAATCTTGATACTAATTTATTTATCTGAAAGTAATAATTTTCTATTGTCCCATATAATGTTAGAGTCTTCAAGCTATCCATTAGTTCATCGCTGCTCCTTTGTTCACCATAATGTTTTTTTAATATATTTCGTAGTTCCGACCATGTTGTTACGCGTTCTCTATGCAAAATGCTTCTTGTTTGTACATTTATTTTTTAAAAATTCGAATGCTATTTTTTTTATTATTTTCTGCTAAACTATTAGCCAAGGGAATGAATGATTGTATTTGCTGAATGAAGTCTGGTAATTGGTTTCTGTCCGTCCCGTCGAAATCGTTTACGTTTCGAATTAATTGGAGTACATTACTCAGGGTATCTAGAGCCATTTTACTAGTTTAGAATATTGTAATAATTTTTTAAAGAAATCAAAATGTCACACAGTCAAGGAATTAATAGAGTTATCTAATCAAGAATTTTAACAGACAAAGATATAATTTCAGATTAAAAATCATGTGTTTATTATTAAAATTGGAATATAATTACATTTATTTAGAATAAAGTTTAGAATAAGTTTGATATAAGTTTTATGTTAAATGTTAAAAATATAAATGTTATAAATCTAGTCTAGCTAGATATATTAACATAATAATGTTACTTAATGTTACCATTTTCATGGGGTGTAATGTAATTAAAGTCAATTCTGCAAACAATGCGGAAGCATCGTTGCAAAATATTATTAAGTTCAACTATTGAACTAAATATTTATTTTATGCAGAATTGCATGTGAGGACTATTGGCAACTGGGTCAATATTTTAGCCTATTAGTTATTACTTCTTTGTTTTTGCATTACGCATATGTTTCAATATTTTTTTTGTTTATTTTTTTTCAATTTGGTAGAGTTATTAAAGTAATTAAAATACTAGAATAGGTGTTTGATATGGGGAACAAGGTAGGGTAAAGAGGAAAAAAATGATATAAAAAAAAATAATAAGTTTCGTAATAATTTAAAAGTTCCATAAACAACTAACTGTGAAAAATAATAACTATAAAGCACTGATAGAAACAGAAGTTGTTTTAACCGAGAATATGCTGCATTCATTGATGCCACATAGGTTAAAAAGAGGACTTCTTAATGCAGGAGGTCGTCTACTCAGTTGGGCGTTTGGAACTCTGGATGATGAAGATAAAACTACCATGGAAAGGCATTCGGTAGCATTGGAACAGAGTAATCACAACCTGATCGCAGCTGAAAATCAACAGGTCAGCATAAATGATAGCTTTAAAAAAAACTATGAAGAAAATAAAGGAAGTGATCCAGAATGATCGAGAAATTATAAAAAACAACGTCAAGGCGCTAGGAGACATCACTAGTCTCCGAAGACAAGTTGAATATACTAATTCATACGTGGCACAAGCAGAACCAATTCCTCCACCGCCTCCTTCACAGAACAAAGTTCAATTCACGAATTCATATAGTTTTTTTTTTTTTTATTTTATTTTGATTTTTATTGAATCTTCTAAAAATCAACTTAGAACTAACAATAAATTTTCGATGCTAATTGCTGTATTAAAATATTTGAAAAAAGTAAAATAGATAATTAATTGTCCTTAGCCAAAGCTTCGTCCAATTTCGTTACCATGTCGGGCGTTATTCTTGAATAGCCGGGTTTATATAGTTTTTTTTGAGTCGCTGTGTACCAGCGCTTTGGGTAAGGTTGCTTGCAAGTGGATTTTGATGGTTCCTGAGTTTGATTTTGTACTTTTGTGTGTTGCTGGTAATTAAATCTGTGACTGTGTCAATTCGAAGATCTATATGAATATTTGCGTTTTTTATATACCAGGGGGCACCGACTATTTGCCGGAGGATTTTTGATTGAGTTCTTTGAAGTTTTTCAATGTTTGATGGAGAAGCAGAGCTCCAGAGTTCAATTCCGTAGGTCCATATGGGTTTCATCATTGTGTTGTAAAGTTGCACTTTATAGGTGAGATTAAGTTTAGAATTTTTATTTATCAGCCAGTTTAGTTCTTGTTGTTTGAGTTTAATTTGGGTTACTTTGATTTCGATATGCCTTTTCCACGTAAACCTTCAGTCGAGGTGCATTCCTAAGTATTTTGTGTCATTGCATTGTGGTATTACTTTTCCATTAATACGAAGGGCAGGGCAGGTATCTCGTCGTAGAGTGAAGGTTATGTGTACACTTTTCGATTCGTTAACTTTTTCCAGATTATTAATTTTCCAGAGATCGAGCCATTTTTGCAGTTTGTTGAGGTGGTCTTGAACTGATTTTGTGGCTGTGAATGGGTCGTCACTATGGATGAGAATGGCAGTGTCATCCGCAAATGTTGATGTTGTTGTACAGTCACTGGTTGGCATGTCTGCTGTGAAAATCAGGTACAGCAAGGAGCCCAGAACACTACCTTGGGGTACACCGGCCATAATGGGGAAGGCATTGGAGACAAAAGAATTTTGTTTTATAACAAATCATCCATTTGAGAGGTAGTTTTTGATAACTGAGGATATATTGTATGGTAAATGTTTCTCAAGTTTCCAAAACAATCCTTCGTGCCAAACTTTGTCAAAGGCTAGGGTTATGTCTAGAAAGACGCCTGAACAATACTGCCTCTTCTCAAACGTTTCCTTAATTACTCGTACTATGCGGTGTACTTGTTCTATTGTGTTGTGTTTTTCTCTAAATCCAAATTGGTGGTTAGGTATTATTCTTTTCTTATTTATATATGGCATTAGTTGTTTTACAAAAAGTTTTTCAAATAATTTTGAGAGAATTGGAAGCAGACTTATGGGTCTATATGAGGTGACTTGAGCGGGGTTCTTTCCGGGTTTGGGTATCATCATGATTTTGGATAGCTTCCAGTCGTTTGGAAAATATGCAGTCCTTAAAATAGCGTTATAAATAAAAAGTAGTTGGTCTTTGGCGATTTGTAGGATCTCTTTCAGCATTTTCGCTGTAATTAGGTCGTAGCCTGGGCCTTTTTTGGTATTTAAATTTTTGATTTCGCTTTTTAGTGGTTTTTTACTGAAGCAAATTGTCATATTGTCGTTCCGTGTGGAGTAAGGCAGAGAGTCAAGTTTTGTTAAAGTAGAGATTGGGGTAAATACATATTTAAGGTGATTTGCAAAAGCAGCACCCTTTTCCTCATCGCTTTTAGCCCAGTTTCCATCTGTAAGTCGGAGGGGTGCTCTGTGTATAACGGGCTTTTTTTTGAGTTTAGTGGCTTTCCAAAGGGAGTAGTTTGTTGTTTGCGTTGGAGACAACTGTGAAATAAAATTTTCGTATTCTATGCGATTTTTTTTTTGAGTAATCTCTGAAGTGCTTTCGTCAGATTCTTGAGTTGTTTTTTAATTCGGGGGGATCGTTGTTGTTGCCATTGGCGTCGTACTTGTCGTTTCTCCTGTATAAGGGTTGCAATTTCGTTCGATGTATGGTAGTTTATAGGTTTGTGGGGTATTGGGAGTGGGGTTGATATTCGAGCGGCTTGTTGAAGTAAAGCTGTGAAGTCCTGGATTGCCTTGTCAATTTCAATATTTGATTTTAGGGAAGTGTCGGTGTTAATATGGGAGCTAATATATTTTTTATATTTTAGCCAATTTGTGTGCTGGTTTGTGAGCTTTTCTTCAGATTTTGGATTGACTATTGTTGTGCTTCTAATCAGAATAAAAGTTGGCGTGTGATCAGAGAAGAGTTCTAAGGATGCATCGGTAGCATTTTGATCTCTTTTTAAATTCTTTGTTACCGTAAAATCAATGACGTCTGGAGTTTTTTTCCGATCTGAAGGCCAGTATATTGGTGTGCCAGTAGAGGATATGTTAAGTTCGAGTTTTGATATCACGTTCATCAGGGATTTTCCTTTTGGTGATATAAGTCTTGAGCCCTAGAATGTGTGTTTGGCATTGAAGTCGCCGGCCGCTATGAACTTGGGTCTAAGCTTTGTAAAATATTCTTCGAATTGAAGTTCCGTTGGTGGACAATAGATTGAGGTTATAGTCAGTGCCCAGTCAGTGCGAGACTTTAACTCACTAAAGTCACCCCGATGTCCGACGGTTAGCCCTCTCGGGATCACCGATTTGGTATTTCGTCAAGAGGCCGTCCAGAGCACGAAGCTCAAACGTCAGTTTTTGTCGTCATTTCATTACATCCATTATCGTTGCAGTGATACATGTACTGCAGCTGTTCTTCTTTCCTCTTCCTGCAGTCGCAAACGCCGCATAATTTGAGTTGCGAATGTTTTAACTGCCTTCCATTTGAAGCTACTTGAGCACATTTCGTGTACAATGCTGTTAGGAGATGGTAGATATCCTATGGCTTCCACAAGTATTTCCCGTTCTTCATTAAACCGTTCGCAGCTAAAGGCTACATGTTCTGCACTTTCTACGACGTTGTGGCAGTTTGGGCAGTATGGATTATCGAACAGTTGAAATCTGTTCGAGATATTCTAAAAAGCCTCCGTGGCCGCTCAATATTTGAGTCAGATTATAGTCAATTTCACCATGTTTTCTTAACACCCATTCCTTAATGTTAGGTATAAGTGTATATGTCCAACGTCCCTTAGAGGACTGCTCCCATCTTTGCTGCCATTCTCTAAATGAATATGCGCGTTCGGCCGATTTTTGATCTATCGTAGGTGTTATGCCTTGCCTGCCATAAAGACGGCTTAACTCTTTTGCATGTATGTCAACTGGAATTTTTCCAGCAATGACGCAGATTGCATCATCAGAGACTGTTCTATAAGCGCAGGCAACCTGTAACGCACTGCGTCTGTATATTTGTGCTACCAAAGCTTTCGAACTTTCTAGTGAGCGGACGTGTTTTTAAGCCGGTCTCGGAAAAATTTAAATTTCAGTATAAAAACAAGTAATTAACAATCACTTTTAAAAGAATTACTTTTGTTATTAATACAAAAATAAAAAACAGAACATTCTCGGACAAAAAAACAATTCCTAAAAGTTAAAAGTGCATAAAATATTAATTTGAAAATAGCGCGTGCTTTTTCGATTTTTGTTGATTTTTGCACAACTTTAATATAAAAACAACTCAAATAGCAAATTATTTTCTAAAGCTCAAAATAAAAAAAGTGAGCAAGCATTCAAACAAAATATCAGTGCGGTTTTGTGAATATATAAACAAAACAAAAAAGTGCTGATAGAGACAGCTAGTATTTTATTACAAACGTGTTCCACAAAAGCTGTAATTGGAAGCCCGCAATTCATCACAACACAACACAACATCAAAACCAACATACGTGCTAACATTGGATTTTGGAATTTAAAGATATTTATTTTATTAATTATTATTATTTTTATTATTATTATTATTATTATTATTCTTAGTATTATTATTATTGTTTTTTTTCTCTTTTTGTTTTTATTTATATGTTTAATTATTAGAATATAAAGTATAATATTTTACACATTTTCATTTTATTTTTTACATCTTCATTTTTATTTTTATTATTTTCTTCTTTATATTAATTTAATTTAATTTTACTTATATTTATATAGTTAATTTAACTTAATATCAATTAATATTAATAGTAGTTAAATTAAGTAAATCTTATAGCACACCTGCTATTTGCATATATAACCACGTATGCAAATGAGCAATCAAAATCTAGAAAGAAGACATACGATAAGCATTCCAAGTAAACGTAATGCCTATTTGGTAATAGACGCATCGAATACGTTGCCTCTGAAAACTACACAAACTGACAAAAGTTTGTCAAACATTGCACCTTCAGCAACTTCGCTTGCATTTTCCGACTTAGCGAGTCCAAAAAATAAAATAAAGGTCCAAACAGGCATGGAACGCTATGTAAATATGAAACGTAAACTTAGTCCTCAAAAAAACAATTCAAAAGGTGCTAAAATAACTAAAACTATCAAAGATAGTACAACTGGCAATAGATTTGCTGAATTAGCTGAAACTACAGAAGAAGCTATTCAGCCAATTAACAAAAATTTTAAACCGCCTTCAATCTACTTGCGTGAACGCAGCTCAAATAACCTAGTTACAATCCTTGCAAGTCTGATTGGAAATAATACTTTTCATATTGTTCCTATAACTAGGGGCAATATTCACGAAACCAAAATCCAAATCGACACTGAAAACAATTTTAGAGTCATAACTAAATATTTCGAAGACAGCAAAAAAAATTACTACACATACCAACTAAAGAGTAGTAAGGGCCTTGTTGTCGTAATTAAAGGTATCGAATCAGATGTAGAACCCATTGAGATAACAAATGCCCTAAGCGAAAAAGGCTTTAGCGCTAGAGCAGTAATAAATATTGTTAACAAAGATAAAATCCCACAACCTATGTTCAAAGTTGAACTTCACCCGGAAGCTTCTAAGCTTAAAAAAAATGAGAGCCATCCCATCTACAACCTACAGTATTTACTTCACCGCAGAATTAGCGTTGAGGAGCCCCACAAAAGAAATGGTCCGGTGCAATGCACAAACTGCCAAGAGTATGGCCATACTAAGTCATATTGCACTCTTCGTACAATGTGCGTAGCTTGTGGCGAGCTTCACCATAGTTCTGAATGCGATAAAAAAGCATTAAAGGATACCAACTCCAAAAAATGTAGCAACTGCAGTGGAAATCACACTGCAAACTACAGAGGCTGTCCTATTTATAAAGAACCAAAGCACAGGTTAGCTCCGCAGAAAGAAGCGTTGCGTAATCCTACAAGAAGCAACACCATTAAATTAGTTGAAGTACCTCAACCTTTAACTTCTAAGCCTGTTACACCAGGTGTTTCATATGCTAATGTCGTTAAATCTGACAAGCAACAAGCCCCTCCAGTTCAAAGTAATAGTTTGGAAATAATGATCTCCACTCACTCAGAGCTTAACTCAGTTCATGTCAATCATGCAAACTACTCTTAACGAGATAGTTAAAATGCAAAGCCAATTAATGCAAATGTTTTTGTCTAAATAATGAGTACTTTAAAAATTTGTACATGGAATGCAAATGGCTTAAGCCAACATAAACTTGAACTCACAAATTTCATGTCCCGAGAAAGTGTGGATGTAATGCTTTGCTCAGAAACACATCTAACTAACAAAAATTTCTTTTCTATTCCTTTTCTTTTCTTTTCTATTTCTAATTTTATTTTCTATTTATTCTATAAAACCAATCACCCAGATGGCAAAGCACATGGTGGTACAGGTATTTTGATAAGAAGGCGTCTAAAACACAATTTTCTAGGTACATATGCTCATAATTATATGCAAGCCACATCAATATGCCTTAAGCACATAGGAAAAAATTTAACTTTATCGGCAGTTTACTGCCCTCCTCGCTTCAACATTACTGAGACCCAATTTACGGATTACTTTTTAACTCTAGGTGAAAGATTTCTTGCGGCAGGAGACTACAACGCCAAGCACACGTATTGGGGTTCACGACTCTGTAATCCAAAAGGAAAACAGCTCTACAATTCAATTGTAAATAGAAAAAATGCACTAGACGTAATCTCTCCTGGGCAGCCAACATATTGGCCTGCTGATAAAAATAAAATACCAGACCTAATAGACTTCGCCGTAACCAAAGGCAAAGCCAAAAATTTTATCTCAACATACACTAGCTGACCATTCTTCTGACCATTCTCCAGTTACATTTTGCTTACTTGATGGTCCTCAGTTATATGACTGTTCCTATAGCCTTACAAGTCCTAGAACAAACTGGCTCAAATATAAAAAGTTTATTAACTCACACATACACACAAATTACAAGATAAAGTGTAAGTCTCATATTGAGGACGCAACCTCAGTTTTAAACTCAGTTCTGATTTCAGCAGCAGAAAACTCCACCCCTAAAGGCAATAAAATTTACAGATTCAATAGAGTACTTACAAATAGTGACATAGAGAATTTAGTTTTACAAAAACGTAGATTAAGGCGTGAATGGCAAAAATCTAGGTCCCCTTTAGCGTAAAACTTATTTAAGGAAGCCCAAAGG